GGGATGTAGGCCACGGGAAACGGGAAATCTGCCAAGGTAATGCCTCAGTCTAAACGATGCCTGATCTAACGAGACAACCCGGCAAGAGGCACTTTAAACTGAAGAAACTGTTTCGTGACATGCCTCCAGGCTTTGAAGCCTGTGTTTCCTTTTCCCTTAATCTGCTTGACCTTCGCAGACTCTACGATTCACTCCTGTTTTTCCAAATCTGCCCTTTTCTATCCTCATTAAGGAAGCCAGGTGTTAGCTCCTCTGGAGAACTATCACCGCTTGACTCTGAAACATTTTCATCAGGATGTGTAGTTTCACTTTCCAAGCCACTGACCTCAGAAACAACATTTTCAGTAGCATCAGGAAATACAATCAGAGAATCAGATTCAGGTTCAGCAATCAGAGAATCAGGTTCAGGTTTACACGCAGGCTGAACCCCAACTTTCATGAGGGTATGTTCAGTTATGGCCACAAGGGGAGCTGCCGCTTCACCGTCCAATTGTGACACCAAGTCCTTGATGGAGTACTTCCTCATTCTTCTGCACACTGCTGGAAGGTTTTATGGCGTTGTAAATGAGTTAAATGAGCCTCCCCGCGTATTATCCCGGTTATTGCCCTCTCCTGGTCTCGCTGCTGGTTCCTTCCCCCTCCTGCTGCTCCTCTCCTCTGTCCCTGGACTAACTCCTCCTCTCCTCTCTCCTCTGGCCCTGCAGCACTGCCTTCCCCGCAGCCTCTGCCCGGCGTCACCCCCCTCCAGATCATCCCTCAGTCCGTCCGCACCCCGCCTGCCGACAAGGCCAAGAAAGTCCCGCCCCCCACTCTGCCCAAGCCGCGGAAGCCAAGTCAGTAGCGGCCGGCCTCTCCTGCCCATCGATGCATGGCCTGGGCATGGCATGTGACTGGCCCGGTGCTCTTGTGCCGGTCCTTTCGTTTGTGGTCCCTCAGAGCTATGAGCCTTGGTGTGGTGTTGGAGGTCTTGCAACACTGAGGTCTTCAAGATGCCAGCTACTGTTTGAGAGGCAACACTGAAGTTTTAGCAAGTGCAATCTCGAAGACTTTCATGGCCAGAATCACTGAGTTGCTGTGAGTCTTCCGGGCTGTATGGCCACGTTCCAGTAGTATTCTCTCCTGATGTTTCACCTGCATCTTTGTCAAGCATTCTCAGAGGATCCCTGAAGATGCCATTAGCCACAGATGCAGGTGAAACATCAGGAGAGAATGTTGCTGGAACATGGCCATGCATTCCGGAAAACAGCAAACCAGTGATTCTGACCATGAAAGCCTTTGACAACACATTGAACTTGCACAACTTCAGATGCTCAATGTATTGTCGAAGGCTTTCATGGCCGGAATCAATGGGTTATTGTAGGTTTTTTCGGGCTATATGGCCATGTTCTAGGGGCATTCTCTCCTGATGTTTCGCCTGCATCTGTGGCAAACATCCTCAGAGGTAGTGAGGTCTGTTGGAACTAGAAAAGAGGGTTTATATTGTATTGTCGAAAGCTTTCATGACTGGAATCACTGGGTTGTTGTAGGTTTTTCGGGCTATATCACAATGTTCTATAAGCATTCTCTCCAGAGGTAGTGAGGATGCTTGCCACCGATGCAGGTGAAACATCAGGAGAGAATGCTTCTAGGACATGGCCATATAGCCCGAAAAACCTACAACAACCCAATTCTGATTAAATCCATGAAGACATATAAAACCACTGCAGGTTCTGCAGGGCATGTTTTTAATCGATGCAGCAAGCTCAAGTCTTGCAAAAAACCACAATCAGTTAGCTGACTTTGGCAGTGAAAACTGCAGGTTCAATTGAGCAAAAGAAAAGAAAATGAGGAATTCAGGCTAGCAGGATGGGCAGACTGAGAGCTTGGAAAAGTTACTTATCCCAACTTTTCGTGTTCCTCAGCCAGTATGGCAAAGGAATTTGAGGATCAGTAGTCTTCTGAAAGTAACTTCCCCAAGCTGTGTTGTCAGGGCAATTGCAATGCTCCTTTCCTTGGAATTATGTGTGGTGCATGGCATGGAGAATCCCATTCTTTCTGTGCATCAGAGTCTTGGTTGCACTTGCAGCGCATCATGTGCCACTTTGAGATGCATTGCCACCTGGGACAGCAGGTTCTGTGCTGTCGCACGCTGGGCCTGTGCATAAGACTGTAGACAGGACATAAATTCTGTGTGCCCAATGGGACGCCGGGGCTGCCTGAGACTAAAGGCCTTTGGATTTCCTTAAAACAGAGTCTTTAGATTGCTTAAAGGTTCAACAATGTTCTTTATTGATGAAAACAATTTCTCAACAGTCTATTGGCTCTCTCAATCTTGTCCACTGGGAACAGGCACTATCTTCATAAACTGTACATTAACTAATGAGGAAATCCTTAACTTCTAATCTGGGCAGTCTGTCTTTGCCTCTGTTGGCGTGGAGCCCCTGCACCCGGTACCAACTGCGTCTGGCTTCCGCGAGTGACCCTTACCAAGCAGAGCTTTGTAGACTTCCAGGGGAAAAAGAATTTATGTTTCCGTGATGGCTGACTGAAGTCCTTGAGCAAAGGAGTTGTAAGGCTGTATGATCCTCGGTCAAGCTGTGGGCTGTATAACCCCAGCCAAGCTGTAGAGCCCTTTCTCCCCGGCCAAGCTGTAGAAGACGAAGCTTTCTACAGGAGCTCTTGGTATTATGTCCTGTGTGAAAGGCTTCTCTGTGTGGACTAACCCAAAATGGCTCCTATTCCCTCTAAAAACCCCAAAAAGGGGACGGGACCAGGGAAGCTAACTATAATTGACAGGTGGCTTGCCCTATGATTGCAGCCAAAAGAAGCCACTTATCTGCAGGGTCCCTAAAACTTAGGACTATAACAAACATTAAATGCAAAGCAAACAGTTGTACCTGCACAGGTTGAGTGTCTCTTATCCAGATTGCTAGACGACCAGAGGTGTTCCTTCTTTCGGATTTTTCCAGATTAAGGAATACTTTCATATACACATTGAGATAGATATCTTGGAGACGTGACCCAAGTCTCAACATTTGTTTATGTTTCATAGGCACCTTGCAGGTTTCCTACCAATTTCATGCCAATCTCCCTTTTTTTTGCTAACGCTGATAGTAAAGTAAGAGCAGAGAGAAGTAGAGGAGGATTATCCTCATTGCAAAGCAGCGGATTTTGGAATGTGTTGCACGCATCCAGATTTTGCACCTTTTCCCGGTGGCGCAGTGGGTTAAAGCACTGAGCTGCTGAGCTTGTTGATCGAAAGGTCACAGGTTCGATTGCAGGAAGCTGCGTGAGCTTCCGCTGTCAGCCCTAGCTTCTGCCAACCTAGCAGTTCGAAAACATGCAAATGTGAGTAGATCAATAGGTACCGCTCTGGCGGGAAGGTAACAGCGCTCCATGCAGTCATGCCAGCCACATGACCTTGGAGGTGTCTACGGACAACGCTGGCTCTTCGGCTTAGAAATGGAGATGAGCACCAACCCACAGAGTCAGACATGACTGGACTTAATGTCAGGGGACAACCTTTTACCTTTTTAGGAATGCATTTCATGGAATCTCATAACTAGAAGGTTCCCCCAAAGGCCATCCAGTCCAACCACAATGCTAAAGCATGTCCTGTTCCCTTGACTCTCCCTCTCTTCTTTGTTCAAGATGACTAAAACCACTAATCCTCTTCTTCCTCATCTTTTCTGTCTGATCTTCTATTGTTGACGTTTCTGCCATTTCCCATCATTGAGCATACAGGTTTCTTGAAGCCCCTGTTAACATGTGAAGAGTGGGACAGTATTCTAAGATTTAATTATTGTGTTTGGGTTGTTGTGGGGTTTTTCAGGCTATATGGCCATGGTCTAGAGGCCTCTAGATCATGGCCATATAGCCCGAAAAACCCTACAACAACCCAGTGATTCTGGCCATGAAAGCCTTCGACAATTATTGTGTTTATTCCTGTCTTAAAGAAGGTTGGACTAGATGCCCTCTGGGGGTCTCTTCCAACCCTAGGATCCCGTAATCCTAGGAATAACAAGTCAGGCTGGTTTTCAAAGCCAGGGGTGTCATCTGAGCACCTTTTAGCAGCGACCAAGCCTAATCTCCCCGCAATCTCTCATGTAATTGGATTCAAAATCCCACGATGCTTTCCCAGTGTTGCCCTTGGTCAAAATGGAGCTGGGCTTTGAAACAGGTGCTTGGAAACAGTCCGGATGGGCTGCGCGCCACGGCTTCTTTGGGATCTGCAAAGTCATGGCTGGAAGGAGAACATGGGAAGTTCTCCTTCTATTGAGTCGGACCCTTTGGTCCATTCAAACCAAATTCTCTCAGCTCTGATAGGCAACTATTAGAAACTAGAACAATATTCCAAACTATAGTTGATAAATATTCTGGGAACCTGTCCAAATTCTGGCTCAGCGTTTACATACAATAGACTCTGCCCTGATTTGGTATTAATGTTGAAATGCAGCAATCAAAAGCAAATTCCGGTTAACCAAGAGTCTACTATACTGGATTTGAGATTAGATTTTGCTCATGTTGTATTGCATTGTTTTGGATTCATTTTCATTCTCGAGTTGAGCTTGTTGAACAAGGCACTTTAAGGACGTGATACGTTGCATGAATTGTGGATAATAAATACATAGAATATGTGTAAGGAATTCTTAGCTGAATGGAGTCTTTTCTGGAAATACGTTGGTACTGCAACGATTTGGAATGGTATCCCGGCGTGATTCATGTGTGTGACTGTGCTTGCCAAACAGAAATGGTGCATGAACGTTTTGCGTCTTTTGCAAAGATGCTCAAATAGACCAGACTCTGTGTGCAAAGGTCCTTGCAGAGCGTCTCCAACCTACAACCCCATTGCAATGCTCAAGTTCATCCTGGCCTAGCATTTGGTGCCTCATGATTCCCCCATCCAAGCTCTTTTGCCAAGACATGTCCTTCTGGGTTCCTGGAGGTCAGATGCACGGGGCCACAGCTGTGACCGAACCTTGCCTTGACCCTCAATCCTGCCTTTTCTCTCCTCTCTCCAGCTTGCAACCCCAACGCGTGCCGGGCCATGGGACGGGGACTTCAGCCAAAGGGCGTGCGCGTGAAGGAGGTGGCTGACTTCAAGGTGTACACCAAGGGAGCCGGCACCGGAGAGCTCAAGGTGGTGGTCAAGGGACCAAGTAAGTTCTGGGGAATTCCTCCCATGAAAATGCACTATCTGGACTGTTGCACTCCAGACCAGGAAAGCCCTCTCACCACGCAGCTGAGAAAAAAGCAAGCAGTTTCTTGAAGATATTTAAAAGCAGTATCAGTAAAAAGCAATCCACAAAAATAGGTAAATCCAATTGGGTAGAAAGATTGATAGAAACAAATAGTCCAGGAAATTAGTCCATCAGAGTTTATGACAACAAATACTGAAACTTCCAAGGCAAAACCCCAAAACCTGACCATGAATCAAACAAGGCTCTTAGCACAGGAATCTATCCAAGGCAAGGCTTCCAGGGACCTGGGACGATGCTTTGACTCATTTCCAACATTGCTTCGTCTGGCTTGATCCGCATGTTCGTCTTCGTCTTGATCCGCATGTTCTCCCACAGTGAGGACATCTGTAGCTAGGTGGAAGGCGGTCCCGGTCAGGCTTGGCTTGACGCGCCTTCCTCTTGGCATGTTTCTCCCTTTCACCCTCCATTCATGCCTCTTCAAATTCTACAGCACTGCTGGTAACAGCTGACCTCCACCTAGAGCGCTCAAGGGACAGGGCTTCCCAGTTCTCGATGTCTATGCCACAGTTTTTGAGGTTGGCTTTAAGCCCATTTTTAAATCTCTTTTCCTGTCCTCCACATTCCATTTTCCATTCATGAGTTCGGAGTAGAGCAACTGCTTTGGGAGACGGTGGTCGGGAATCCGGACAACGTGGGCGGTCCAGCGGAGTTGATGGCGGAGGAGCATTGCTTCAATGCTGGTGGTCTTTGCTTCTTCCAGCATGCTGACATTTCCCCGCCTGTCTTCCCAAGAGATTTGCAGGATTTTTCAGAGGCAGCACTGATGGAATTGTTCCAGGAGTTGCATGTGACATCTGTAGACAGTCCACGTCTCGCAGGCATATAGCAGGGTTGGGAGGACAATGGCTTTATCAACAGGCCCCTTGGTCTCCCTAAGGATGTCCCGGTCCTCAATCACTCTCTGCTTCATTTGGAAGAATGCCGCACTCACAGAGCTCAGGCAACGTTGCATTTCAGTGTCAATGTTGATGTCTGTAGACAGTCCATGTTTCTCAGGCATATAGCAGGGTTGGGAGGACAATGGCTTTATCAACAAGCCCTTTGCTCTCCCTACAGATGTCCCGGTCCTCAAACACTGTGCTTCATTTGGAAAAATGCTGCACTCACACAGCTCAGGTGGTGTTGCATTTCAGTGTCAATGTTGATATCTGTAGACAGTCCACATTTCTCAGGCATATAGCAGGGTTGGGAGGACAATGGCTTTATCAACAAAGACCTTGGTTTCCCTACGGATGTCCCGGTCCTCAGACACTCTCTGCTTCATTTGGAAGAATGCTGCACTCGCAGAGCTCAGGCAATGTTGCATTTCAGTGTCAATATTGATGTCGGTAGACAGTCCACGTTTCTCAGGCATATAGCAGGGTTGGGAGGACAATGGCTTTATCAACAAGCACCTTGGTATCCCTATGTGTTTTGTTATTATTACATTCATAAATTCCAAAATGGAGAGCAGAATGAAAAGTGGAGGGTTTGCTCCATAAGAGCATGAAGGTGGACAAAAGAAATGATGGAATTCAGTAAAGAATGAACCAACCTTGCACCATGCATGTGCATGTGTTTCACTATTCTCTCTGTGTCTCTTGCTGCTTTTACACAGAAGGCATTGAGGAGCCAGTGAAGGTTCGGGACGTTGGCGACGGAGTGTTCGAATGTGATTACTACCCAGTCGTTCCCGGGAAATACGTGGTGTCCATTACGTGGGGTGGACATGCCATCCCAAGGAGGTAAGAGCACAGCTGTTAGGAATGGTGGGAGCTGAAGTCCAAAACACCCAGAGGGCCCAAGTTTGCCCATGCCTGCTTTATTATCATTGTTCACAGACTGAAAGTCACTTTTTTACTCTAGGAACTTAAGGCTGGTTTTGCCTGAGTTGGTTTGGCACGGCATTACAATGTTTGGAATGTTAAAAGCAGACCTTGTTCAGAGGATAGTTGCAAAAGGAAATTGTGTTTGTGAACGGTGCTGTTGTTCCCGAGCCCATTCTCACCTTTTGCCACTCTTTGTGTTTAGTCCCTTCGAGGTGCAGGTCGGACCAGAAGCTGGACTGCAGAAGGTCAGGGCTTGGGGGCCTGGCTTGGAGACTGGCATGGTGGGCAAGTCGGCCGACTTCGTGGTGGAAGCCATCGGCACAGAAGTGGGCACCTTGGGTAAGCAGAGTATATCAGGCACTTTGCAGAGAAAGAATATATAACTATACTAGCTGTACCCGCCACGCTTTGCTGTGGCCAACCTTCCCTCCCTCTTTCTCTCCTTCTTTCTTTCTTTCTCTCCTTCCCTCCCTCCCTCTTTCCTTCCCTCTTTTTCTTTCCCTTCTTCTTCCTTCCTTCTCTACCTGTTTCTTTTCTCGCTTCCTTTGCTCTTTGGTTCCATCCTTCCGTGTCTCTTCCCTTCTTCCCTCCCTCTTTCTCTCTTTCATTCCTTATCTCCTTCCTTCCTTCTCTACCCTTCTTTCTTTCCTTCTTTATCTCCTTCCATCCTTTCCCTCCTTCTCTCTCTCCTTCCTTCTTTCCTTCCTTCCTCCCTCCCTCCCTCCCTCCCTCCCTCCCTTCCTTCTCTACCCTTCTTTCTTTCCTTCTTTCTCTCCTTCCCTCTTTCTCTCCCTCCTTCCTTCTCTACCCTTTTTTCCTTCCTTCTCTCCTTCTTTCCCTTCTTCTCTCCCTTTTTCTCTCCCTCCTTCCGTCTCTACCTTTCTTTCTTTCCTTCTTTCTCTCCTTCCCTCCTTCTTTCCCTTCTTCTCTCGTTTCTTCCTTCTCTACCCTTCTTTTTTTCCTTCCTTCTCTTCTTCTTTCCCTTCTTCTCGCCCTCTTTCTCTCCCTCCTTCCGTCTCTACCTTTCTTTCTTTCCTTCGTTCTCTCCTTCCCTCTTTCTTTCCCTTCTTCTCTCCCTCCTTCTCTCCTTTCTTCCTTCTCTACTTTTCTTTTTTCCTTCCTTCTCTTCTTTCCCTTCTTCTCTCCCTCTTTCTCTCCCTCCTTCTTTCCCTTCTTCCCTCCTTCTTTCCCTGAAGCCTCCCAAATTCATAATAATAATAATAATAATAATAATAATAATAATAATAATAATAATAATTTATTTCTTACCCGCCTCTCCCCACGGCTCGAGGCAGGTCACAGCACAGTTAAAAACACACAAATACTATATAATTTTTTTTTTTACAAATACACATTAAAATTCAGTTCATAAAAGATACCATTTTTGTAAAATACACATTAATCACACAGGACAGAGACCAAAACGCATGAAATGAGTTTAGCATATTAACATTCTCCCCATTCCTCTCCACAAAGACTCTCCAAGTACCTGCTATTTAATGCATATTTTCTCAAAATGGCCTTTTAGATTTCCATTATTCCAGCCATGCAAATGAAGTGTACCCTATTACCTGTGGGGTCAGTTCCATCTCACCACCATTCTTGTTTGGAAATTTTCTAGGTCCTCTGCGCAATTTTACAACTTTTTGCCACAAAGTCCCCATTGGTCCCATAGGTTGGGGTGTTACTTCCCTATGATCCCATAAGTGGGGTGTTGCTTCTGCTGCCCATGGCTTAAGCAGCATATCCTCTCTTTTCTCCCTGCAGGCTTCTCCATTGAGGGTCCGTCCCAGGCCAAAATTGAATGCGACGACAAGGGGGACGGCTCCTGTGACGTGCGATACTGGCCCACGGAGCCGGGGGAGTATGCTGTGCACGTGATCTGTGATGACGAAGACATCAAGGACAGTCCCTTCATTGCCCACATCTTGCCAGCCACAAACGAGTACTTCCCAGAGAAGGTAGGTGTCAGGATCCAGGGCTCTGCTGGTACGCAGGCAGAGGTTAACCAAAGCAGCAACTGGCTTGTCGAAACTGTTTTACTTAAAGCAATAAAACTTAAGCACATGGTTGCTTCAAGGTCTGACTTTAAAACACAAAGATAGCCCACAGCTGAAGGTACAAAGTCTCATTTGTGTCACCCCCCCCCTGCAAAAAACTCCCCTAACTTGGGTTCTCCCTGCCTCCTAGAATCAGCAATCTCCAGATCCTGAACAGTTGGATCTGAGACATGCACTTTTGAAGCAGTACGCATCTCTGCTCTTCCCCTGCCTCTGTGCTTCTTAAATCAAACACACCGAAACTCTTTATCTCTGCCAAAAGCCCTTGTTAGTTTGCTGTTTATTATTGTCCTAAATTATTTACACTTACTCACACACAGACTGTCACCACAGAAGAGAGATTGTCACATTGCCAGGGCTTTGCTAATATTTAGGCAGAGATGAACCAAACTCCCAGTTTGTGTTAAACAATTTAATTAAAACAGCAGATAGTTGTAGTTTTTTTTGGGCTATATGGCCATGGTCTAGAGCAGGGGTAGGGAACCTTTGGCCCTCCAGCTGTGGTGGACTTCAACTCCCACAATTCCTTGAGGCTCGGCATTGGGCCAAGGTAAGCCTTTGGGGCGAATGCCGAGCCTCAAGGAATTGTGGGAGTTGAAGTCCACCACAGCTGGAGGGCCAAAGGTTCCCTACCCCTGGTCTAGAGGCATTTTCCTGGAGAGAATGCCTCTAGACCATGGCCATATAGCCCAAAAAAACCTACAACAACCCAGTGATTCCGTCCATGAAAGCCTTCAACAATACAATTAAAACAGCACTTACTTTCTGGTTGTTTTAATAGTCCAAAATATAAAACATAAAGATTGCACTCAGGTACAGACTATAAAACAAAAACAGCAAACGCTGTTGCAGGTTCAAGATAACTCCATAGTCAAAAGATCCAGTCCAGAGGTCAAACGCTGAGAGTTCAATAAACAAAGTCCAGGGATCAAGAGTCTATACCAGGGGTAGGGAACCTTTGGCCCTCCAGCTGTGGTGGACTTCAACTCCCACAATTCCTTGAGGCTCGGCATTGGGCCAAGGTAAGCCTTTGGGGAGAATGCCGAGCCTCAAGGAATTGTGGGAGTTGAAGTCCACCACAGCTGGAGGGCCAAAGGTTCCCTACCCCTGGTCTATACCATAGTCAAAAGCCAGTCCAAAGATTCAAGGTTCCAGGATTCCAAAGGTTCAGGAGACAGGTCAGAACACTGAAAATCCACAAACCTGGGGGAAGACCAGCAGCATCTACCACCAAAATAAGACAAATACTTTTCTCCCGAAAATCAGTCCCAAAGCTAGCTCCTTATCTCTAGAAACATCCAGCTGCAGCCTATCTCTTGCATACCTCCACCCTTAATTGCTTTCACCCATGAACTCTTACTTACAGAATACTCAACCCTATGGAACGAAGACTTACATTAACCCTTCCATTACCAACTGCTAGGCCTGCCACCACCAACCACCACCAACTGCAGAACATGATACATGGCAGAGATCAAGCACATGATCAGGCATTTTATCTCTTTGCCATGCCATGAAGACATTACATCTATCTCACTTGACTGTTGTTCTGGTCAGGCCTCCCTAGGTACTGAGTGATGCCTCAGTTACCCATGCTACCAGGAACATGTCTTAGGAATGATTTTTTTTCCTGGCGCATAGATCCACCAAACAATAGTTTTGCAGTCAAATGCCGAGAGTTCACTTAGTAAGTATGTAAGGTATCAGGAGTACAAACCATAGTCAAAATTCCAAAGGTCAATCCAGATAATCCAAAGTCCAAGGGAAGTCCAAAATCCATAAGTCAAAATCAGACTGGTTGTTCAAGAGTCCAGGGATTCAAAGTACACTAAGGTCCATGATGAGATACAACAGAGTCCACAAAAAGATTATGACCATGGTTGAAGGTTCAGCAAGGTACATCACAAGATTCAAGGAAACAGGTCAGGATAACACTATCCTCCATCCTGCAGGGAAGACAGCCAGCATCCACAAGCTAGTATGATAGATACTTTTCTCCCCCCAAGGAGCTGTCTCTGACCAGGATCTTTTTATGCAGCTGATCATAGCTACATCATATCTCCACAGGTCTCTCCCCCCCCCCCCAATTGCTGCTACTAGATGGCCTTTGGGGCCCCCTTCTAACTCTAAGATTCGGCAATTCTATGTCTCTCTCAGGTGAAAGCTTTCGGACCTGGTCTGGAACCGGTTGGCTGCATTGTGAACAAACCGGCTGAATTCACCATCGATGCCAGAGGAGCAGGGAAGGCAGAGCTCAAGATCTACGCCCAGGTAGGTGTTATTATCTTGAATAATAAAGCTCTTATTTCATTATTGTTGCACTCCAGACCAGGAAAAGACCTCTGACTTTAAACACCGTGCAGTTGAGTAGGAAATCCCTTTATTGAAGATAATTAAAAAGCAGTAAAGTAAAAAGCACTGTAAAGAAATAGGTAAATCCAATTAGGTAGGAAGATAAGCCAGAGCAAAGTAGTCCAGGGTAATAGTCCATCAAAGTCCATGAAAAACAAAGGCAAAAACTTCTCTAATCATAGAATCATAGAATCAAAGAGTTGGAAGAGACCTCCTGGGCCATCATCCAGTCCAACCCCATTCTGCCAAGAAGCAGGAATATTGCATTCAAATCACCCCTGACAGATGGCCATCCAGCCTCTGTTCAAAAGCCTCCAAAGAAGGAGCCTCCACCACACTCCGGGGCAGAGAGTTCCACTGCTGAACGGCTCTCACAGTCAGGAAGTTCTTCCTCATGTTCAGATGGAATCTCCTCTCTTGTAGTTTGAAGCCATTGTTCCGCGTCCTAGTCTCCAAGGAAGCAGAAAACAAGCTTGCTCCCTCCTCCTCCCTGTGGCTTCCTCTCACATATTTATACATGGCTATCATATCACTCTCAGCCTTCTCTTCTTCAATTCAAGAAACCAGGAAACATGAATACAAGGCAATTGAGTACAAAATCATAGAATCCAATAATCAAAACCATGAAACAAAGGCACTTTAAACATGAATCTTTCCCAAGCAAAGCTTCCAAGAAACAAGAATAGGAACTTGACTTGATTCCAAATGATGCTTCATCTGACTACATATCCTGCACTTGGGACTTTTATCTCCTCGTTAAGATATGTCCCAAGCACTCGGAAATTGGTTTTTCTATAGCTGCAAGCAGGCCCGTAGCCAGGATTTTGTTTCAGGGGGAGCTGAGTTTGATTTGGGGGGGAGGGGGGCTGAGTCTGAGTGAAAGAGGGTCTACCTTAGCAAACCTCTTGTATCATTACCCCAATCCCCCATGCATGAGGGATATACTGAGCATGGTGATCAGATAATGATATGAATAAACATAACAGTTTAAATAATGTACCAGTAAGGCCTTCTCGCGGACCACCATGAGAATTTCGGGTGGGGGGCTGAAGCCCCCCAAGCCGCCCCCCCCCCGGTTACATGCCTGGCTGCAAGTCTCTTATCTTTCTCTCTCTGAGCCTGGCAGAATGCCGAAGCCACTGTTAGGCTCTTCTGTTTTGACTAATCTCATCCCATCTGTCTATTTCCTCATTAATTTCTGCAGCTGGGCCAGGTGCCGAGCTGTTTTCAAGCTCCAAATCATGGGAATTCTCTGGTAGCAATTCAGGGAGCACACCATCATCCCCACACCCTTCAGGAACATTCTCATGAGAAACTACACTTTGAACAGGGATCTCCTGGTCATTCTCTGCATCAATATGATTGCCGTCTTGAAACTCATTGTCATCACTCCCCACATCTAAAGCACCCCAATCCTTCAATCACAGGCTGAGTTCCAACAATTATAATATGATAGCCTTAGTTCATCCTTAGTGCAATTCATGCAGTTCTTCACCGTAATCAAGCTTGTGAATTATCAAAGTCTATGGTTAACATTTTGTTTTCCTTTCCACGACAAAATGGGCAAGGCAATCAAGAGTTCTCAATCTATGGATGCATCTACACTAGGTTTAATGCAGTTTGACATCACCTTCCCTTTCAGGATGCAGAGGGCGTTGCTATCAACATCAAGGTGAAGAACAACGGGGACGGCACCTTCTCCTGTGTCTACGTCCCCACCAAGCCCATCAAGCACACCATCATCATCAGCTGGGGGGGCGTCAACATCCCCAAGAGCCCCTTCCGGGTGAGTAGGCCAGGAGCCCTTTTCTGGAACTTTTCTCCCCTTTGGGGCTGAATATCACTGGCTGGGAATGGGGGGTGGCAAAGTCCAGTGACCCCAAAGTCCACCAGCCCAGTTCCATTTGAGGTGAGAATGACCATTCATGGCTAGGAAAGGCTTTGAGAAAGAATAGCCCTGCTGTTTTTGGAGAGGAAGAAGGCTAAAGTAGGTTTTCCATGCATAGCATGAATGCCATGAGGCCAGTAAACCTCAAGGAGAGGCGTGTAACCCATAATTTGTTGTTGTTGCAATGGGACTGGTAAATCACAAGGAGAGGCGGGTAATAATTAAATGATTGTTTTTGTTGTTGCAATGGGACCAGTAAACCACAAGAGGAGGCAGGTAATACATACATGCATACATACATACATACATTGTTGTTGTTGTTGTTGTTGTTGTAATGGGACCAGTAAACCACAAGAAGAGGTAGGTAATACATACATTGTTGTTGCTGTTGTTGTTGTTGCAATGGGACCAGTAAACCACAAGAAGAGGCAGGTAATACATACATGCATGCATGCATACATACATACATACATACATTGTTGTTGTTGTTGTTGTTGTTGTTGCAATGGGACCAGTAAACCACAAGAAGAGGCAGGTAATACATACATGCATATGCATACATACATACATACATACATTGTTGTTGTTGTTGTTGTTGTTGTTGCAATGGGACCAGTAAACCACAAGAAGAGGTAGGTAATACATACATGCATGCATACATACATACATACATCTCGGCCTATGAGCCCACGAGGGCCTTAAGATCATCTGGGGAGGCCCTTCTCTCGATCCCGCCTGCCTCACAGGCACGTTTGGCGGGGACGAGAGATAGGGCCTTCTCGGTGGTGGCGCCCCGGCTATGGAGCACCCTCCCTGTGGACATCAGACAGGCGCCCTCCCTTATGTCATTCCGCAAGAGCTTAAAGACATGGCTATTCGAGCAGGCGTTCAACTAAACATTACAATAACTGGCATTGATGACTGGAACGGAATATGGAATACGAGATTGGTTTACGATTTTACGATGAGACGACGCGGATGATTTAGAGTAATTATTGTTGTATTATTGATGTTACGTGCTTATTGTGTTGTATGAGGGTTGTATTGTAAATTGTTTTTATATGTTGTACACCGCCGTGAGTCGCCCGAAAGGGCTGAGAACGGCGGTCAACAAATGCAATAAATAAATAAATACATACATACATACATACATACATACATACATTGTTGTTGTTGTAATGGGACCAGTAAACCACAAGAAGAGGCAGGTAATACATACATGCATACATACATACATACATACATACATACATACATACATTGTTGTTGTTGTTGATGTTGTTGTAATGGGACCAGTAAACCACAAGAAGAGGCAGGTAATACATACATGCATGCATGCATACATACATACATTGTTGTTGTTGTTGTTGTTGTTGTTGCAATGGGACCAGTAAACCACAAGAAGAGGCAGGTAATACATACATGCATACATACATACATACATACATACATACATACATACATTGTTGTTGTTGTTGTTGTTGTTGTAATGGGACCAGTAAACCACAAGAAGAGGCAGGTAATACATACATGCATACATACATACATAGATACATACATACATATATACATTGTTGTTGTTGTTGATGTTGTTGTTGTAATGGGACCAGTAAACCACAAGAAGAGGCAAGTAATACATACATTAGGTTCTTGTGGGTTTTTTCAGGCTATAGAGCCATGTTCTAGAGGCATTTCTCCTGACATTTCGCCTGCATCTATGGCAAGCATCCTCAGAGGTAAATGAATGACTTCCAAACAATGCAAAATATCGAGGATGCTTGCCATAGATGCAGGCGAAACGTCAGGAGAAATGCCTCTAGAACATGGCCCTATAGCCCGAAAAAACCTACAAGAACCTAGTGATTCCAGCCATGAAAGCCTTCGACAATACATTACATTGTTGTTGCTGTTGTTGTTGTTGCAATGGGACCAGTAAACCACAAGAAGAGGCAGGTAATACATACATGCATACATACATACATACATACATACATACATACATACATTGTTGTTGTTGTTGTTGTTGTTGTTGTTGTAATGGGACCAGTAAACCACAAGAGGAGGCAGGTAATACATACATTGTTGTTGTTGTTGTTGTAATGGGACCAGTAAACCACAAGAAGAGGCAGGTAATACATACAGTGTTGTTGCTGTTGTTGCAATGGGACCAGTAAACCACAAGAAGAGGCAGGTAATACATACATACATGCATGCATGCATGCATGCATACATACATACATACATACATACATACATTGTTGTTGTTGTTGATGTTGTTGTTGTAATGGGACCAGTAAACCACAAGAAGAGGCAAGTAATACATACATTGTTGTTGTTGTTGTTGTAATGGGACCAGTAAACCACAAGAAGAAGCAGGTAATACATACATTGTTGTTGCTGTTGTTGTTTTTGCAATGGGACCAGTAAACCACAATAAGAGGCAGGTAGTAAATACATTGTTGTTGTTGTTGTTGCTGTTGCTGCTGCTGCAATAGAGGCCAGTAACCCATAAGGAGAGGCAGGTAATAAATAAATGGTTATTGTTGTTGTTGCAATAGAACCAGTAAAACACAAGGAGAGGTGGGTAATAATTAAATTATTTTTGTTGTTGTTGCAGTGGGGCCAGTAAATAAAAAGGAGCACTGGGTATTAATTAAATTGTTGTTTTTGTTGCTGCTGCAATGGAACGAGCAAATCACAAGAAGAGGTGGTTAAATATTAAATTATTGTTGCTGTTGTTGCAATGGGGCCAATAAACCACAAGGATAGGAGGGTAATAAATACATTGTTGTTGTTGTTGTTGTTGTTGTTGTTGTTGCAATGAGACCAGTAGACCAGAGTCAGGTAATCAATGAATTGTTGTTGTTCGTGTTATTAGACCCAACCCAGTGCTGAGTTCACATAGGAAGATGTGTAGGAATATTTGGCATCTGTACCAGAGTCCAGTGTTATAGATGAGCTTATCAGAGGAAACAGGGGAGAAAACACACAGGATAATACTCTAGTAAGGTTTTTAAAAGGGTAAAAACCTACGTTTATTGTTGCAGGTTGTATTAGAAAGTAGTCAGACAGAAGAAAGTCACCTAACTTAGGTAGAAGAGACCCCAATACTCTGTGTTGTCTATGTCTATTTTGAGGCAGAGAAGCCTCAGGATGCTAAAGGCATACTGAAGACTTTATGGGAAGAAGCAGGAAGTGGTCTCTCCATGCAGACAGGTAGCAAAACACCTTGAGTTGCATAGATGTAGGAAACAGGTGAAAACAAGGCATCAGACATGTGCTACAGGGTTCCCTCTGTACGCAATTGCTCCTAATGCTTTTCTCGTCCAACGAGATGCACCTGCGCAGCTCAATGCAGGAATCTCTCCTTTCCTTCCTCCCAACAGGTCATGGTGGGTGAAGGGAGTTACCCAGACAAGGTCAAGGTATACGGTCCTGGAGTCGAGAAGACAGGGTTGAAGGCCAACGAACCTACTTACTTTACGGTGGACTGCAGTGACGCTGGACAAGGTTTGTAGGGTTTGTGTGGAGGTGGCTTTGGGATTCTTTGTAGCCTGTCTGGGAGAGTGGATTGCAGCAGACCCAGAAAAGACCGTTCTGTGGAGATATCTACTATAGAATTAGTGCTTGTGAAGGAGTCGTTAAACTGCTGCCACCAATTGTAAAGAAGACCGTATTAATGCCACCGAATGCCACCAAATGTGAAGGTGCGAGTGGTAAAACACGCACTGCCACCTAATCTATGAGGGAAGCCGGGCAACGATCAATATCAGCCTAGGAACTATTTTATAAAGGGACTGTTAATTACAGAAGGCTTTATTCACTTGATAGCGTAGCATTTACTTTCTTGGCTTGACTTTATTATTGTAGGCTGTTCAACTTAGGAGAAACTGTATCAGGCAAGGCTTGAGGAAAACAGTAACAAGTTTATTTTAAGAGGAGTATAACAATGTATAACTGTTCTTCAAAAGAGGCACAAATCTTGATGAATACATTGGAAAGGTTTCATGAGTAAACTCAGGCAAACACTTCATAAGGTTTCACAGCTGGCACAACAGGCTTAAACCCAGCCGAACCTTGATTCTTAATTCAGAATCAACAATCCCCTGTACCGGGTCCTTCTCTGCAACCACTTGGTCACCAATTGATTCCCTGAATCTCCACCAAGAGATTCAGTCTTTCCCTATAGCACACTGGCTACAGACACATTCCCTGAATCTCCACCAAAAGATTCAGTTCACTCAGTAGCTCGCTGGCGTACTGACTAATTCCCTGTTTCTCTCACTAGAGAAATCAGTCCCTTCCTGTAGCTCACCGGCCACAGACTGCCACTTTCAAAAAGCTGCGCCGTGAAGTGATAGTTGGCTCCACCCCCGTTGCTATGGCGACTCAGCTCAAGCCACTAGCCACCATCTCTAACAAAATATAATCTCCCATACTTACCATCCCTAAACCACTGTCCAAACTACACATAACCAAAGAATAAAACTTACACATTGTCACAGTGCTTGTTGACACCACTTCATATCCTGGAAAAGACCCTTCTGTGGAGACATCTACATTATAGAATTAGTGCTGTTTGACACCATATCCCGGATGAGCCCCCAAAATGTAATGGACAGTGGTTCAAGGAAAACGCTGAGTCTTCTGAAGTGGAAAAAGCAGGATTTTATTTATAACTGGGCACCAGGCCAGGATCTCTCCTTCATTCTTGGGCACCCCTGAGAATGTTCAGAAGGACACTTGTTCCTGAGCTGAAGAATTTCACTTGGTGCTTGGCATACATTACAACTTGCATAGGTTTCTTATGGATCCGAATGGGGTGGTCAAGCTTCCAGATGTCTGGAGAGATGGACAGAGGTCATGTGCCCATAGCAAGGTGCATGGAATGTGGGGACTCATATATATGGGATGGGGTCCCTTTGAAATTACCCAGATCTTGTTTCCCTTTTCAATGGACAGCCAGTAATAAATCTCTGGTATCCTCGGTCTCTATTAGTCACCAGAGACAGGAGATCTTTATCAGTGAGTTTATTGACCAGATAAACATTCTCCTCTCAGCCTTCTCTTCTTCAGGCTAAACATGCCCAGCTCCTTAAGCCGCTCCTCATAGGGCTTGTTCTCCAGACCCTTGATCATTTTAGTCGCCCTCCTCTGGACACAATTCCTATGCACACTGCACATATCTTATTTGTAGTGCAAAAACACTTTAAAACAATATAATAATTAAAATAACTTATTCGTATTTCAATGGGAAGTGTGGGCCTGCTTTTGACTGATGAGAAAGAATTGTTGTTGCTGTTGTGTGCTTGCAAGTTGTTTCAGACGTAGGTTGACACTGAGCGAGGGCCAGGTCAATGACCTTGGAGGGCCATATTCGGCCCCCGGGCTGTAGTTTGAGGACCCCTGTCCATGACGATCTTAAACTCCTAGATGGTTCATGGGAGGAGATACATTCGGACATCCCTCGTTTTCCGAGGAGGATTGTCTTCCAGTATCCTTGTGGGTCCGTATGTGGCTGTGGAGCCCTATTCTTGCTCTGCATCTTCTTCCGCAGTGAGGGCATTGGTTTCCAGGTGGAAGGCGGTCCCGGTTGGGGTTGGCTTGACGCGCCTTCCTCCTGGCACGTTTCTCTCTTTCACCCTCCACTCGTGCCTCCTCGAATTCTGCAGCACTGCTGGTCACAGCTGACCTCCAGCTGGAGCGCTCAAGGGCCAGGGCTTCCCAGTTCTCAGTGTCTATGCCAGAGTTTTTAAGGTTGGCTTTGAGCCCATCTTTCAATCTCTTTTCCTGTCCACCAACGTTCCGTTTTCCATTCTTAGTTCAGAGTAGAGCAACTGCTTTGGGAGACGGTGGTCAGGCATCCGGACAACGTGGCCGGCCCAGCGGAGTTGATGTTGGAGGACCATCGCTTCAATGCTGGTGGTCTTTGCTTCTTCCAGCACACTGACGTTTGTCCGCTTGTCTTCCCAGGAGATTTTCAGGATTTTCCGGAGGCAGCGCTGATGGAATCGTTCCAGGAGTTGCATGTGACGTCTGTAGACAGTCCACGTCTCACAGGCATAGAGCAGGGTTGGGAGGACAGTAGCTTTATAGACAAGCACCTTGGTCTCCCTACGGATGTCCCGGTCCTCAAACACTCTCTGCTTCATTCGGAAAAATGCTGAACTCGCAGAGCTCAGGCGGTGTTGTATTTCGGTGTCGATGTTGACTTTGGTGGAGAGGTGGCTGCCAAAGTAGCGGAAAGGGTCAACATTTTCTAATGTCACACCATTAAGCTATATCTCTGGCATTGGGGAGGGGATGGCTGGTGAGTGCTGGAACAGCACTTTGGTTTTCTCGATGTTCAGTGACAGGCCAAGCTTCTCGTATGCTTCTGCAAAGGTGTTGAGAGTGGCTTGTAGATCTTCTTCTGAATGCGCACAGATGACATTGTCATCAGCATACTGGAGTTCTATAACAGATGTTGTTGTAACTTTGGTTTTGGCTTTCAGTCTGCTGAGGTTAAACAGCTTGCCATCTGTCCGATAGATGATTTCCACTCCGGAATATACAGACAGTGTTGCTTTGCAAATCAGAGCAGTGGTTAATACACATTTGCAACATTGTTCAATACACTTATTAAGCAGCTATCATTAGCAAATATCATCGAAGATATTATTAGCAAATTTTGTCAAGCAAATGCAAATAACACAGATTTCAATTATTCCAAGCTATGCCTCTTCACCTTGGCTCTCTCTCCCCAGCACCACCAGTCCTTCCCATTCCTGGCTGATACCTTCCCTTATTTGCTTTCGCTCCTGTTTTGCAGGGGACGTGAGCATCGGCATCAAGTGTGCGCCAGGCGTGGTGGGGCCCGTGGAGGCCGACATCGATTTCGACATCATCAAGAACGACAACGACACCTTCACGGTGAAATACACCCCTCCAGGCCCCGGGCGGTACACCATCATGGTGCTCTTTGCCAACCAGGTCAGTGGGAGGAAGCAACTGGAGTGGACTGGGGAGCACTGGGAAATGGGGAAGAAGGAGACAAGGCTGTGAACAGGTTCCGTGAGACATTTCAAAGCCAATTGCTGGAGACCAGAGCTTGGAAAAGTTGTGTCTTTGGAATACATCTCCTAATTTGATAACACTATGTAACAATTTTTTTTTGGGGGGGGGGACTGTTCCTGGTTTGAAAGTGTTATTTCCTGTTTAATTGTGTGATCCTTACTTTGAAAGTAATTGTTCTACTTCAGAAACCTTTTGTGCCACATACTATGTGGAATTGGTTGAGACTCGATTACGTGTCCAAATTTGGTGTCAATTCATCCAGTGGTTTTTGAGTTTTGTTAATCCCACAAATGCACATTACATTTATATATATAGCTATTTATATACTAGCTGTCCCCTGCCACACGTTGCTGTGGATTAGTCTGCATAGTTTTGTGCATGAGCTGTAATATATATATAATTTTTTTTGGCTTTTTATATCTTCCCTGCTGTGTTTTCCAGGGTTTTTAAGAGTGATGGTCACTCGTTGGCCTGAGAGGTGTCTTGTGTCCAAATCTGGTCTCTCTCTCTCTCTCTCTCTATATATATATATCTAAAACACTAGCCATCTCCTACCACGCATTGCTGTGGCCCACATGGGGGTTCTGTGTGGGAGGTTTGGCCCAATTCTATCGTTGGTGGGGTTCAGAATGCTCTGTGATTGTAGGTGAACTATAGATCCCAGCAACTACAACTCCCAAGGTCCAGAGAATGAAAATACATCCTGCCTATTAGATATTTACATGTCGATTCATAACAGAAGCGAAATTCCAGTTATGAAGTAGCAACGAAAATAATTTTAGGGTTGTGGGTCATCACAATATGAGGAACTGTATTAAGGGGTCGCAGCCATCTGTGTTCATATTTGGGCATATGGAATATTTGTGTCAAGTTTGGTCCAGATCCATCATTGTTTGAGTCCAGAGTGATCTCTGGATGTAGGTGAACTACAACTCCAAAACCAAAGGACACTGCCCACCAAACCCTTCCAGTATTTTCTCTTGGTCATGGGAGAATTGTGTGCCAAGTTTGGTTCAATTCCATCGTTGGTGGGGTTCAGAATGCTCTTTGATTGTAGGTGAACTATAAATCCCAGCAACTACAACTCCCAAATGGCAAAATCAATTTTTTTTAGTGAAGGACATACATTGGGTTGTTAGGTGTCTTGTGTCCAAATTTGGTGTCAATTTCCCCAGTGGTTTTTGAGTTAGGTTAATCCCACAAACGAACATTACATTTTTATTTATATAGATGGTCACTCGTTGACCTGAGAGGTGTCTTGTGTCCAAATTTGGTGTCAATTCATCCAGTGGTTTTTGAGTTACGTTAATCCCACAAACGAACATTATCTATCTATATCTATATCTATATCTATGGCACTGGAGTTGCACTTAGAAAATGTCCCTGTTCCAGTTTACATGCAAACTCAACTTAAGAACAAACATACAGCTTCTCTCTTGTATGTAACTTGGGACTGGCTGTATAATGCACTTTAATAACGGTGACCATATAGTCACATTGGAAAATCTAGCGAGAGAGAGAGAAAGAGAACATTTTAATCTGATCCATGAATAATCCAGATTGCAAAAGGCAAAGCTTTCCCTCCAGCCGTTGGCCAAAGAATGGGGGATTTGCCTTATAAGGGTCAATTTTGGGGTGACCCGCAAGGCCACCATGTTGACCCAGTCTTTCTCTCTGTAGGAGATCCCCATCAGCCCTTTCCACATCAAGGTGGATCCTTCCCACGATGCCAGCAAAGTCAAGGCGGAGGGGCCGGGACTCAACCGGACAGGTGAGTGGCCACAGCCAAGGAGGCTGTCCAAACCTTGAATCAGTGTCTAGCTGCTGTGTCGGACTGGATGAGAGCTAACAAATTGAAACTGAATCCAGACAAGACAGAGGTCCTACTGGTCAGTCGTAAGGCCGAACAGGGTATAGGGTTACAGCCTGTGTTAGACGGGGTTACACTCCCCCTGAAGACGCAGGTTCGCAGCTTGGGAGTGATCCTGGACTCATCGCTGAGCCTGGAACCCCAGGTCTCGGCGGTGGCCGGGAGAGCTTTTGCACAATTAAAACTTGTGCGCCAGTTGCGCCCGTACCTTGGGAAGTCTGATCTGGCCACAGTGGTCCACGCTCTTGTTACATCCCGTATAGACTACTGCAACGCACTCTACGTGGGGTTGCCCTTGAAGACTGTTCGGAAACTTCAGCTGGTCCAGCGAGCGGCAGCCAGATTGCTCACTGGAGCGACATACAGGGAGCACACCACCCCCCTGCTGTGTCAGCTCCACTGGCTGCCGATTCAGTTCCGAGCACAATTCAAGGTGCTGGTTTTGACCTACAAAACCCTGTACGGTTCCGGTCCAGTGTATCTGTCCGAACGTATCTCCCTCTACGTCCCACCCCGGAGTTTGAGATCATCTGGGGAGGCCCTGCTCTCGACCCCACCACTGTCACAAGTGAGGCTGGTGGGGACGAGGAGCAGGGCCTTCTCAGTGGTGGCCCCTCACCTGTGGAACTCACTCCCAGGGGAAATTAGGGCATCAACATCCCTCCTCTCCTTCAGGAGGAAGGTAAAGACGTGGTTGTGGGACCAGGCCTTCGGGCAATCTGACAACTAGATATGGACAACCAGATGGATAGGACTGACAGGACTGACAATTGCGGAATTGGAATTTGAACTATGAGATTGTGAAACGCTGACCGTCAATGAGGAGAAATGGTTTGTATTGGTTTTATTGGTTTTATGGTTGTCTTTGCCTTGCAATAATTATTGTTTTCTGTTATTGATGTTATTGCTAGAATTGCTGTTTTCTGTTAACTGATGTTATTTGTCTTATTGCTGTCATGTGATGCGGGCATCAAATTGTGCCTTGCTTTTGTAAGCCGCCCTGAGTCCCCTTCGGAGTGAGAAGGGCGGGGTAGAAGCAACCGAAATAAAATAAATAAATAAATAAATAAAGAGGAGACAATGGGAAACAGGACATTAAAAGTTATGTCTTCTTTGGACTTGGGGAGAGACAATTCATGGTAGTTTGAAAGCCTAGTGACGTCTCTCTCTCTCTACAAGCCGGAATTGCTAATACATTGGAGAGACCCAGAGCCTGGGAAGTAGAGGGTGATATCCATGTGTTCTTCCCCCTCCAATGGGTGATGTTGTGAAACTGTTGTGACTCTGTCTCACTGTGACCTTTCCTGGGCAGGTGTGGAGGTGGGAAAGCCCACCCACTTCACTGTCTTCACCAAGGGGGCTGGCAAGGCCAAGCTGGACGTCCACTTTGCTGGAGCGGCCAAAGGAGAGGTGGTGCGTGACTTTGAGATCATCGACAACCACGACTACTCCTACACGGTCAAATACACAGCTGTGCAACAGGTGAGATTGACGAGACACACAGGATGAGTTAGACCAGACACGTGTCATGTTCTTTCTATGCCTGATATTGACCTGTCTTCTCCTCCTGCAAATTAGGGCAATATGGCCGTGACTGTGACCTATGGAGGAGACCCCATTCCTAAGAGTCCTTTCCCCGTAAACGTGGCTCCACCCCTCGACCTGAGCAAAGTCAAAGTGCAAGGACTCAACAACAGTAAGTGGAGTCAAGGGTCCATGCAGGGATGATGGGATGAACCTGGTTTGGAGGAAGAAGCCTGACATCTGCATCTATACTGTAGAATGCATGCAGTTTGACACTGCTTTAAGTGCTTTGGTCAATGTGATGGAATTGTGATATGGAAGGCCACCTCAGATGTGATTGCCTTCGACAGTGGTTCTCAACCTGGGGGTCGGGACCCCTATGGGGGTCGCCAGTGAGTGTGAGAGGGGTCGCCAAAGACCATCAGAAAACACAGTATTTTCTGTTGATCATTGGGGGGTTCTGTGTGGGAAGTTTGGTCCAATTTAATTGTTAGTGGGGTTCAGAATGCTCTTTGAGTGTAGGTGAACTATATATCCCAGCAACTACAACTCCCAAATGTCAAGGTCTATTTTCCCCAAACTCCAGCAGGGTTCATATTTGGGCATATTGAGTATTTGTTACAAGTTTGGTCCAGATCCATAATTGTTTGAGCCCACAAGTGCTCTCTGGATGGAAGTAAACTACAACTCCAAAACTCAAGGTCAATGCCTACCAAACCCTTCCAGTGTTTTCTGTTGGCCATGGTAGTTTTATGTGTCAAATTTGGTTCAATTCCGTCGTTGGTGGAGTTCAGAATGCAATTTGATTGTAGGTGAACTATAAATCCCAAATGACAAAATCAATCAACCACCCCCCAATCCAATTTTGGGTATATTGGGTATTGGGTTGTTGTAGGTTTTTCCGGGCTATATGGCCATGTTCTAGAGGCATTCTCTCCTGACGTTTCGCCTGTATCTATGGCAAGCATCCTCAGAGGTAGTGAGGTCTGTTGGAACTAGTAAAATGGGTTTATATATCTGTGGAAAGACCAGGGTGGGACAAAGGACTCTTGTCTGCTGGAGCTAGGTGTGAATGTTTCAACTGACCACCTTGATTAGCATTTAATGGCTTTTTATTGGGTATTTGTGCCCAATTTGGTCCAGTGAATGGAAATACATCCTGCTTATCAGATAATTGCATTACAATTAATAACAGGAGCAAAATTACAGTTATGAAATAGCAAAATAATGTTATGGTTGGGGGTCATGACAACATGAGGAAATGTATTAAGGGGTCGCAGCATTAGGAAGGTTGAGAAACACTGGCCTTCGAAATCTTGCAGCGATGAACTCAGTCCTGAAACTATTGTTGGTTTCACTCCAACTTCTCCTGGCTCCCAGTTCCAACTCCCAGTCAATGGTGGCCATGCCAGTCTTTCCCACCTTCCCTTTTTCCTGCAGAAGTGGACGTTGGCCGAGATCAAGAGTTTACCATCAACACCAAGGGGGCTGGGGGTCAAGGCCAGGTGGACGTGAAGATCAGCTCTCCCTCCCGTCGGCCCATTCCCTGCAAAGTGGAGACGGGCACCAGCAACGACCTCCACTCCGTGAAGTACATGCCACCCGAGGAGGGGCCCTACAAAGTGGACATCACGTATGATGGGCATCCTGTCCCGGGCAGCCCCTTCGCGGTGGATGCCGTCATGCCTCCAGACCCATCCAAGGTAAGCGCCCCGCACAGGAGGATACTGCAAAAGGGGAAGTTGCATGTCTTTCCTTCACTTTCTCCTTCCCTCACTTTCCTTCTTCTCTCACTTTGTGATTCCCTCCTTGTCTGTCTTGCCCTTTTCCTCCCTTCTTTCTCCTTCTCTTTCTCTCCCTGATTCTTACGCTTGTCTTTCCCTTGCTTTCTCTTTCCTTCCCTCGCTCCCTCCTTTGTTCACTTGGCAGTACCCCTTTCTTTCTCCTTCCCTCACTTTTCTCTTTCCTTCAATTCCTGGCTTTCTCACATACCTCCTTCCCTCACTTACTCATTCCCTCACTTGTCTTTCCTTCATTTATCATTCCCACACTTTCCTTCTTCCTTCACTTATTCTTTCTTTTGCTTTCCTCCTTTGTGCACTTTCTGAGTCTCTTGTTATTTTTCTCTGGCTTTCTCCTTCACTCAGTTTTGCTTTCAATCACTTTCCTTCTTTCCTCATTTTTCCTGCCCTCATGTTCTGGTTCCCTTGTTTGTCTTTCATTTGCTTTCTCCTTCCCTCACTTCCTTCCTTCCCATGCCTGTCTTTTCCTTCCTTCCGTCCTTCCTTCCTTCCTCACTTCCTTCCTTCCCTCACATTCTCTCTTTCTTCACTTTCTCACTTCACAGCTTCCCTCACTTTCATCCATCCCAGACTTGTTTTTTTCTTGCTTTCTCCTTCCCTGACTTTCCTTCTTTCTTCTCTTTTCTCCTTTAGCCTTTAGTCACTTTCCTTCTTTTCTCATTTTTTTCCATTCCCTCACTTTCTGATTCCCTCACTTGTCTTTTCCTTCCTCCTTTCCTCACTTTCTCCCTACACTTTCTCGGTTCCTTCACTTTACATCTTCCATCACTTTCATCCCTTCCATACTTTCACTTCCTTTCTCCTTCCCTTACTTTCCTTCTTTGCTCATTTTTCCCATTCCCTCACTTTCTGATTCCCTCACTTGTCTTTTCCTTCCTTCCTCCTTTCCTCACTTTCTCCCTACACTTTCTTGGTTCCTTCACTTTACACCTTCCCTCACTTTTATCCCTTCCATACTTTCACTTCCTTTCTCCTTCCCTTACTTTCCTTTTTTGCTCATTTTTCCTTCCCTTCTTTTTTGGTTTCTCCGCTTGTCTTTCACTTGCTTTCTCCTTCCCTCACTTCCTCCTTCCCTCCCTTTCCCTTTCTTAACTTCCCTGTTTCTTTCACTTTACACTTTCCTTCACTTTCATCTGTCCTGCTCTCGTCTTTCATCCGCTTTCTCCTTTCTTTTTTTCCTTCCCTCACTTTACTCTTTCCCTCACTTCCTTACCCTCACTTGGAGGGGTCTTTCCCTCACTCCTCCCCTCACTTTCTCCTTTTCTTGCAGGTCTGTGCCTATGGCCCGGGACTGAAGGGTGGCTTTGTGGGCAAGCCAGCCCCATTCACCATCGACACCAAGGGGGCCGGCACGGGTGGCTTGGGCCTGACGGTGGAGGGCCCCTGCGAGGCCAAGATAGAATGCCAGGACAACGGGGACGGCTCCTGCTCGGTCTCGTACTTGCCCACTGAGCCCGGGGAGTACGCCATCAACATCCTCTTTGCCGACGCTCACATCCCCGGCTCCCCCTTCAAGGCGGACATTAAGCCCGTCTTCGACCCCTCCAAGGTGACGGCCAGCGGGCCAGGGCTGGAGCACGGCAAGGTGGGCGAGGTGGCCACTTTCATGGTGGACTGCTCCAAGGCGGGCGATGCCGAGCTCACCATTGAGATCATTTCGGATTCGGGGGTCAAAGCGGAGGTGCTGATCCAGAACAATAGTGACGGGACCTACAGCATCACCTATATCCCCTCCTTCCCGGGAACCTATACCATCACCATTAAATATGGCGGGCATGCCGTGCCCAAGTTCCCTGCGCGGGTCAATGTGGATCCGGCCGTGGACACAAGCAACGTTAAGGTTTTTGGACCTGGAGTGGAACCACGGGGTATGTCCTAGGGATCTTCTATTTTCTTTCCTTCCTGTTGTTGTGTTTTAGATGATATTTGTGTGGTCCTACAGATTTTTTTGGATTCCAACTCCCAGCATTCATCAATATTTGCATTCTTGGCAAAGACTGCTGAAAGTTACAGTTCATCAAAACACATGGAAGGCCATATGCTTTCTATGTTTGGATTACAAGGGGGTGAAATCTACACTGCCAATTGAGTGCAGTTTAACTTCACTTTAGCTGCAATGGAATCATGGGAGTTGTAGTTTTCCAAGGTTATTAGTCTTCTCTATCGAATACTGCTGATGCCTCATCAAACTATACATCCCATAATTCCATAACGGCATTGAGCCATGGCAATTCAAAGTTTGTCAAAATTGCATTAACTCCACAGTGTAGATGCATCCTTGGAGATATTTAAACAAAAGTTAGAAGTGTGCTTTATTTCTACAGTTGTCCCTCCATACCCACAGATTCTGCATGGACATATTCTATCATCTATAGCTTGAACATATCTGGTCTAAAATCTAAAAGCATGCTATTAGATGACATTGCAAAAGTCATTCCCCTTGTGCCCACTATATATTTCCACATGCCAAGGATCTGGACTGGATGGTACCATCCAGCTCCAGAATTCCTTTATAAATATTTAAAATAATAAAGAGATTTAAAAGAGATGTTGAGAGATGTTTCCAGTTTGGACAACTATGGGGACTCCAAATACCTGTCTTGTATCTTTCATGGCAATGATCTTGCATCCAGAGATTTAGAAGAGATAATGAGAGATGTTTCCAGTTTGGACAACTTCGGAGACTCCAGATATCTGTCTGTTGCATCTTTTGCATCCAGAGACTTAGAAGATATATTGAGAGATGTTTCCAGTTTGGACAACTTAGGAGACTCCAGATATATGTCTGTTGTATCTTTTGCATCCAGAGACTTAGAAGAGATATTGAGAGATATTTCTGGTTTGGACAACCCAAGAGATTCCAGATATCTGTTGAATCTTTTGCTTCCAGAGACTTAGAAGATGTATTGAGAGATGTTTCCAGTTTGGACAACTTAGGAGACTCCGGATATCTGTCTGTTGCATCTTGCCCATAATAACCCTTCATGCCATTGTCTCTCCAGGTGTCCTGCGTGAAGTGACCACCGAGTTCACAGTGGATGCCCGTTCCCTGACCAAGACCGGAGGCAACCATATCAAGGTGCGCGTCATCAACCCCTCAGGCGCCAAGACGGACGCCTACATCACCGACAATGGGGATGGTACCTTCCGTGTCCAGTACACACCTTTCGAAGATGGTAAGGCTTTCACAATGTGTGCATTTCATACATAAATGATCATATTTATTTATTTATTTATTTATTTGGTACACTTGTATACCGCTAATTTCTCAGCCTAGAACGGCGACTCAATTGCGGTTTACCGCATTTTTAAAACAACTCAGTTTAAAAAACATATACAAATACAATAACAAATTATTGGGCCACCAATAATAATCCCATATATCTCGAGTTGAAATCACAATCCAGAGTTCGTTGTCCATATTTCCTGTCCATAGTCACCAAGATTCGATTTAATTGCCACAGATTAGCCGAATGCTTGTTTGAATAACCATGTTTTGAGTCTCTTCCTAAACACCATCAGCGACGAGGCTGATCGTACCTCTATAGGGAGGGCGTTCCAAAGCCGAGGGGCCACCACAGAGAAGGCCCTATCTCTCGTTCCCGCCAGCCGCACTTCTGAAGCTGGAAGGATAGAGAGAAGGGACTCTCCGGAAGATCTTAGGGTCCTGGTGGGCTGATAGGCTGAGATACGTTCGGATAGATAAGTTGGGCCAGAACCGTTTAGGGCTTTAAAGGCCAACGCCAGCACTTTGAATTGAGCCCGGTAGCATATCGGCAGCCAGTGGAGCTGGTGCAGCAGAGGAGTTGTGTGCTCCCTGCGCCCCGCTCCTGTTAGTATCATGGCTGCCGCCCGTTGGACTAATTGGAGCTTCCGGGCTGTCTTCAAAGGCAACCCCACGTAGAGAGCGTTGCAGTAGTCAAGGCGGGATGTAACCAGAGCGTGGACTACCGTGGCTAAGTCAGACTTCCCAAGGTACGGTCGCAGTTGGCGCACGAGCCTAAGCTGTGCAAATGCTCCCCTGGTCACCGCCGAAACCTGGGGTTCCAGGCTCAACGATGAATCCAGGATCACACCCAAGCTGCGAACCTGCGTCTTCAAGGGGAGTGCGACCCCATCCAACACAGGCTGTAACCCTATACCCTGTTCAGCCTTGCGACTAACCAGGAGTACCTCTGTCTTGTCTGGATTCAATTTCAATTTGTTCGCCCCCATCCAGACCGTCACAGCGGCCAAGCACCGGTTCAGGACCTCGACAGCCTCCTTAGTAGCAGGTGGAAGGAGTGACAGAGTTGGACATCATCTGCGTACAGATGACATCGCACTCCGAAACTCCGGATGATCTCGCCCAGCGGCTTCATGTAGATGTTAAACAACATGGGAGACAGTATTGAACCCTGAGGAACCCCACAAGACAAAGGTTGTGGGGTTGAACAGGAGTCTCCCCATAACACCATCTGGGACCGACCCTCGAGGAATGAGCGGAGCCACTGCAAAACAGTACCTCCAAGACCCATCCCCGCGAGGCGTCCCAGAAGGATACCGTGATCGACGGTATCGAAGGCCGCTGAGAGGTCGAGCAGCACCAACAGGGACACACTCCCCCTGTCGAGCTCCCGACGCAGATCATCCACTAAGGCGACCAAGGCTGTCTCGGTACCATGCCCCGGCCTAAAGCCAGACTGTGCCGGATCTAGATAATCCGTGTCTACCAAGAATGCCTGGAGTTGTGAGGCCACCACACGTTCCATGACTTTGCCCAAAAAGGGGAGATTGGAAACAGGCCGATAGTTGACGAATTGAGTGGGGTCCAGTGATGGTTTCTTCAACAGCGGTTTTATCACAGCTTGCTTTAAGCTGGCTGGAATTTTGCCCTCCCGAAGGGAGGCATTAACCACCACCTTCACCCACTCGGCCAATCCCCCTCTGGCCTCCTTTAGAAGCCAGGATGGGCAGGGGTCTAGGATGCATGTGGTTGCCCTCATCCCTCCCAGCACCTTGTCCACATCCTCAGGTTTCACAAATTGAAACGAATCCAACAAAATCGGACAGACAGGTGTTCTCGTCACATCCTCAGAGACTGCCGTTAACATGGTGTCCAGACCAGAGCGGATCAAAGCGACTTTGTCTGCAAAGAACTGAGCAAAGGCTTCACAGCGAGCTGCCGAGTCATCAGGGCACCCATCCTGGATGGTGGGTTTTAAAAGGCCTCTGACAACTCGGAACAGTTCAGCCGGACGGTTCTTTGCAGACGCAATAGTGGCCGCAAAGAAAATTTTCTTTGCGGCCTTTATTGCCGCGGCATATGCCCTAAGAAAGGACACAAACCGTGCTCGGTTTGACTCGCTTGGTTCTGAACGCCACACGCTCTCTAGTTCCCTCTTCCTTCGCTTCATAGCTGCCAGCTCCTCGGTAAACCAAGGGGCTGGTTTAGCTCGGCTACTTGAGAGGGGACGTTCTGGAGCGATCGTGTCTATTGCCCTAGTCATCTCCCCATTCCAGAGAGCGACCAGAGCATCAACAGGATCACCAACCGAGGTGGCGGGGAATTCCCCAAGAGCCATCAGGAATCCATCCGGATCCATAAGCCTCCTGGGGTGGACCAATTTAATGGGTCCTCCACCTCTGCGGAGGTTAGGGGGTGCAGTGAGTCTAAAGCTGACCAGGTGGTGGTCGGTCCATGGCAACGGAGAGATGGATAACTCCTCAACACCGCCACCTTCCTCCCATCCCTGGCAGAAAACCAAGTCCAATGTATGTCCAGCACTGTGGGTGGGGCCAGATACCTGTTGGGACAGCCCCATGGTTGCCATGGTAGACATGAAGTCCTGAGCCGCTCCCGATAGGGCGACTACTCGGCGTGGATGTTGAAGTCCCCCAGCACAAGCAGCCGTTGGGACTCCAACACCAGGTCCGAGACCACCCCCGCTAGCTCAGTCAGGGAGTCTGTAGTGCAGCGAGGTGGCCGGTACACTAGCAGAATCCCTAATCTGTCCCGGTCTCCCACCCTCAGGTAGACGCATTCAAATTTTGTTGACTGTGGGATGGGGGCCCTGGTCAGAGGAATGGTATCTCTATAGACCACTGCAACCCCGCCTCCCCGCCCTCCGGATCTCGGTTGGTGCTGCACAGAGAAACCTGGTGGGCAAAGCTGGGTTAAGTTTACACCTCGCTTCGTCCAACCAGGTCTCTGTGATGCACGCCAGATCTGCCCGTTCATCCAGGATTCCAGGATTATATCCTGGATGAAAGTTGTTTTACCGTTGACAGATCTGGCGTTCAACAGCACCACTTTCAATCCGGAAGGACCGCCATCCTGGTTACACCGACTTATCATATCAGGAGACCGATTTGGGATTACTAAAGTTGTTCCCCATTCCCTAGGTCGAATTAGAGGTCTCCCTTTCCTGTATCTCCCCCTCCCCACCACGACTTCTATGGGGGCTCCCCGGTTAACGGAACCCCCTCCCTCCTCCATGACGCAATGAGCAGCCAACGTATCAACAAGAAATGCATCATTAGTTGTTTGACATATTATGGTTACGGGGTACCATAAACCTGTCCTCCATCTGGGGCAAACAAACAAAGATTGATGAAGCATTTCAACAGAGACCAAGTCACAAGAAGAAACCCTTTTGGAACGTTCCACTTTTTAATATCTCCCACCCAAAAGAACTGATGGAACACATGACATCTTGCAGTTGCCAAAGCTCTCCTCTGGGTGGCATTGACCAATATGCGAAGATATGCTTCTTGCTTGGAATTAATGACGTGGTAGGGGAACAAGTTGTCTTTGCTGCAAGAGTCAGACTATGGAAGTCAAGATCCCAAAGTCTGCTCTTGACTGACTTTCACATTTGTGAGCATTAAGAGTGCATGCAAAGACAGACCAATTGCTTCGATCTTTCTGTGACTCAAAGAATACCATTCTGAAATACGATATATAAAAGTCAACTTCCCTCTCTCTTTCTTTCTCGTTGCCTGTTGTCCCAGGTGTGCACCTGGTGGAAGTGACCTATGATGATGTGCCGGTGCCCAAGAGCCCCTTCCGAGTGGGGGTCACGGAGGGCTGTGACCCCAGCCGCGTCCGTGCTTACGGCCCTGGCCTGGAGGGAGGACTGGTCAACAAATCCAACCGCTTCACTGTGGAGACCAGGTAGCCGACCCCTTTTTTTCTTTAGGGGTATAATGACCAAGTAGCAACAGTCAGAACAACAGACGGGTTCAAAATTGGGAAAGGCGTACGGTAGGGTTGTATACTCTCACCCAACCCATTCACCTTGTATGCAGAACACATCATGCGATGTGCAGGGCTTGACGAATGCAAGGCTGGGGTTAAAATGGCTGGGAGAAACATTAACAACCTTAGATATGCAGATGATATCACTTTGATGGCTGAAAGTGAGTAGCCGAGGAGCCTTCTAACCAAGGTGAAAGAAAGTGCAAAGGCTGGGTTGCAGTTAAACATCAAATAAACCAAGATTATGGCATGTTTTTCCTTTTACAAAGCTACAGCATCCTATCTATTTATTTATTTTCTAAGGGATTGCTCTTGATTCCTCTGAGAGGTAGGCTTGGAGTGCATCTACACTATATAATTAGCGCAGCTTAATACCAGTTTAAGTCTCCATGGCTCAATGCGATGGAGTTGTAGTTTGGTGAGGCACTAACTAAAATTCTTTGGTACAGAAAGCTAAAGGCATTTTAAATTCTCATGATTCTATGACTTGGAGCCACAGGAGTTAAAGTGATGCCAAACTGTATTTATTATTGCGAGGAGGTGATCAGAGTGGAGAGGAAGCACACGTTCTGTCGTGTGACAGGAGAGTAGAGGGAGATTTATTGTTTATTTCTCTGAATTCTGCCACCAACTGGTATAGTGGAGGCCAGTTGTTATATGTAATCTATGGTAACTGCTACCAATGTGAGGTGTGAGGTATTACTGTGAGATATGGCAATACAGACGCAGAATGGATGGAGATGAGACTGTCTTCAACAAAAGATAACTGGTTTATTGAGTACAAAGCGTGTGGTTGCAAGTTGTAACTTATTTTATAGAACTTTGCATAATACTTGGTTAGTTACACATTTCACTCTTCCAGGTTACACAGTATCTTACTGAGGTGAAGCTCTTATTACTAAACAATGTTTCAGTACAGGAATATCTTCCCTATTTGATCTTTCCTTGATCAAATAAATTAACCAGCTTATCCTTTAGCCTTTCCCTTGACTAAAGAAAACTGGCTATGTTTCTCCTTTCAGCCTCCTTAGACTGAGAAACCTCCAGTAGCCATTCAGGCTTCCCAAAGCCACAATTCTTTGCTTCACACTTCACTCTCCCACTCTACTCTTCACTTCCACTCTTTTACTCCTCTCAGATACAAAATCAACTCCCAACTGGCTCTCCAACTGTCTGTTTTAAAAACTCTCTCCACTTGGCTCCTCCCACTCCTCCTTCTGCCAGCTTGCCTTGGTCTCCATGGTAACGCTGACTGAGGATCTCTGAAATAGGCTGCTCCAGTGCTAACCCAAACACATATATATACAGTTTAAAACATGCAAAGTATTAATAACTTCTGCACAATTATGCACCCTTGTTCTTCAGTCAAATGGCTTTCTGAAGGTGACCATACGTTGTTTTTGGGGTTTGCAGGGGAGCAGGGACCGGCGGCCTTGGGCTGGCCATTGAAGGGCCGTCCGAAGCCAAAATGTCCTGCAAAGACAACAAAGATGGCAGCTGCAGTGTGGAGTACATCCCGTTCACACCTGGAGACTATGACGTCAACATCACTTTTGGAGGACACCCCATCCCTGGTAAGTGGAACTGAAGGAAAGTACTGTGTAACAAAAACGCTTTATGTGCACAAGAATTCATAAATAAAAATTTCTTTGTTTCATCTAATATATGGAGTCTTGTGTCAAGTTACAAGGCTGAAGATACATTCCTGAAAGCCAGCTAAAGAATAATTTAAAGCTACATACTGACTACAGTATTGGTTATACTAAGGGAGACGATAAGCCATATTGAGGAGCTTCTAGGGGCTTTTGGGGTGCTTTAGACATATAGGCTGGATGCACATTATATTGAAAACTTTACATGTGCTAAACAGCTGTTAACAGCTGTTAGGAGTTGTGAGAGTTGGAGTCCAAAACACCTGGAGGACCCAAGTTTGCCCTTGCCTGGTTTAGCAAAGGGCACTAACTAACCTACCTGTCTTTCCTTCAGGAAGCCCATTCCGTGTTCCTGTCAAGGATGTGGTGGACCCCAGCAAGGTCAAGTGTTCGGGCCCTGGGTTGGGAGCCGGCGTCCGTGCCCGCGTCCCCCAGACCTTCACTGTGGACTGCAGCAAGGCTGGCCTGGCACCCCTGGAGGTCAAGGTCCTGGGACCCACAGGTAGGGATCTCTGGAGGGATGGGAAAGCAAACTCCACCACTGTGCATCGCTGATACGTCTTTCTCATCATTCTGGGTCACCTCTCTTATGGAGAGTTCATGGCAGCTTAGAAATGTTTTTATTCATCCCACCTCATTGTTGCCTTCCTCTATGTTCCAATAGTATTGGGTTTATTTCCTTTGGTTCTGATGGGGTTGGGTCCTTTTTTTTTTTGGTTCTGATTCCATTTGGTTCCTTTCTTTGAGTCTGTTGCACTCCAGGATAGGAAAAGTCCTCTGACTTTAAACACCACACTGTTGGATGACAAACAATCCTTTTATTGAAGATTATTATTATTATTATTAATTTTATTTGTACCCCGCTAACATCTCCCGAAGGACTCGGTGCGGCTTACAAAGGCCAAGGCCCTCAATAAAACAACAGCATAACAAATACAACAATAAAACTCAAAAATATAATTAAAAAGCAGTAAGGTAAAACACACTTTAAAGAAATAGGCAAATCCAATTAGGTAGGAAGATAAGCAGGAACATTTTTTTTGTTGTGATTCCTTTTGGTCCCTTTCTTTGAGTCTGTTGCACTCCAGGACAGGAAAAGCCCTCTGACTTTAAACACCACACCGTTGGATGGTAAACAATCCTTTTATCGAAGATAATTAAAAAGCAGTAAGGTAAAAAAGCACTTTAATGAAATAGGCAAATCCAATTAGGTAGGAAGATAAGCAGGAAGATTTTTTTTTTTGGTTCTGATTCCTTTTGGTTCCTTTCTTTGAGTCTGTTGCACTTCAGGACAGGAAAAGCCCTCTGACTTGAAACACCACACCATTGGATGGTAAACAATCCTTTTATTGAAGATAATTAGAAAGCAGTAAGGTTAAAAAAAGCACTTTAAAGAAATAGGCAAATCCAATTAGGTAGGAAGATAAGCAGGAACAAAGTAGTCCAGGGTAATAGTCCAACAAAGTCCATAAAAACAAAGTCAAAACTTCCCAAATAAAATTCAGGAAATCAGGAAACATGAATCCAAGGCATGAATATAGAAGCATAGAAGCCAAGAATCAAAACCATGAAACAAAGGCACTTAAAACATGAATTTTCCAAGCAAAGCTTCCATGAACAAGGGCAAGATCTTGACTTGATTCCAAACGATGCTTCATCTGAGGATTGTGGATCCCTTCCTTTTGCTTCCGATGACGTTCCGTCCCTTCAATTTGATGATTTTGGGTCCATTCCTTTGGATTCTGATAAGATTGGGTCAAATCCCTTTTGTTCCGATTATTTTGAGTCCCTTCCCTTTGGTCCTTACTTTGGGTTCTGATGGTGTTGGGTCCATTCTCTTTCGTTCTGAGAATTTGGGGTCCCTTCGAAAGACCTTTGGTCCCTCCTTTTGCATTCTTCTGATGTTGGGTCCATTCCTTTCTACTTAGGCAATCCCTCGTGGGCCGAGTAGGATAGTCTTCCATGATCAGTATTCTTGTGGATCCATAGGTGGCTGTGGAGCCCAATTCTTGATCTGCATCTTCTCCCACAATGAGGGCGTTGGTTTCCAGGTGGAAGGCAGTCTCGGTCGGGGTTGGCTTGACGCGCCATCCTCCTGGCACATTTCTCTCTTTCACCCTCCACTCGTGCCTCTTCAAATTCTGCAGCACTGCTGGTCATAGCTGACCTCCAGCTGGAGTGGTCAAGGGCCAGGGCTTCCCAGTTCTCAGTGTCTATGCCAGAGTTTTTAAGGTTGGCTTTGAGCCCATCTTTCAATCTCTTTTCCTGCCCACCAACATTCCGCTTTCCGTTCTTGAGTTCGGAGTAGAGCAACTGCTTTGGGAGATGGTGGTCGGGCATCTGGACAATGTGGCCAGTCCAGCGGAGTTGATGGCGGAGGGCCATCGCTTCAATGCTGGTGGTCTTTGCTTCTTCCAGCACGCTGACGTTTGTCCGCCTGTCTTCCCAGGAGATTTGCAGGATTTTCTGGAGGCAGTGATGATGGAATCATTCCAGGAGTTGAGTGTGATGTCTGTAGACAGTCCACGTTTCACAGGCGTATAGCAGGGTTGGGAGGACAATAGCTTTATAAACAAGCACCTTGGTATCCCTACGGATGTCCCGGTCCTCAAACACTCTCTGCTTCATTCGGAAAAATGCTGCACTCGCAGAGCTCAGGCGGTATTGTATTTTGGTGTCAATGTTGACTTTGGTGGAGAGGTGGCTGCCAAGGAAGCAGAAATGGTCACCATTTTCTAGTGTTACACCATTAAGCTGTATCTCGGGCATTGGGGAGGAATTGGCCGGTGACTGCTGGAACAGCACTTTGGTTTTCTTGATGTTCAATGACAGGCCGAGCTTCTCATAAAATTCTGCGAAGGTGTTTAGAGTGGCTTGTAGATCTTCTTCTAAATGCGCACAGACGACATTGTCATCAGCATACTCAAGTTCTATATGTGTCTCTTTCTTTGGCTTCCCCTCTTCCTTTTGTTTGTGATGATTTGAGATCCCTTCCTTTTTCCATCCAATGACCTTTCTCTTTGGCTTTGATGCCCTTTGTTCTCTTCCTTCGGCTTCTGATGCCCTTTGGCCCATTTGTTCCCACTTACTTAGGGGTCGCTGAACCAGTGGAGGTCCGCAACAACGGGGATGGCACCCACACGGTGAACTACGCTCCAGCCACGGATGGGCCGTACACTGTCTCCGTCAAATACGCCGGTCAAGAAGTGCCCCGCAGGTGAGACAGCCATTGGCATGACTGCGGTTCTGAGCAACATGGGATGGGGCTCAGTGGGCAGATTTCCCTTTTCCGTAATCCAGATTGTGCTAAAAAGTGTCCCGCTTCCCTTGCCAAGGACTCTCCTTGACGGCAGCGGCCCCTTTGTTCAGCTGTGCCCATCTGTCTTGCGTGCCTCCGTCCTGCAGCACCAGATACATGCCTGGCTTGCCAGGAATGTGGGCAGCTTGCCATGCGCCTTCCATCTCCGCACTGGCAGATTACATTGTGCCTCTGTTTTTAACTTGGCCCAAAGCCCCAAAGCCTTGCAGTTTTGGCCAGGACTGGGCAAATTGTCCTGGGGGTCTGAGCTCAGTGATTGACAGGGTCTAGAAAGTTCTGTGAGGGCAGAAGAGGCCTGGACCTTGGCCAGACTGATGGACATTTCTCTCTGAAGAAATGAGGCAGCTGCACATGGAGTTGTCCAAAATGTTTCAGTTTGATGGGCTTTGTCATTGTCAATGCTGCATCCTGGCAAGTCCAGTGAAGGTCTCCATCTGAAACTGCACAGAGCCATTGGTTTGTCCAGATTTCTCAGAATTTGGGAAAGTGTCCAGCTACTGTTTGGGGGTTTAGCACTAGGGTGCTCTGGCCTTCAAACAATGCACAAAGTGCAAGTGCAATAAATTAACGTGCCGATAAAAGATCCAGCCAGGTAAATCCAATGTCACAATGTACAAAAATTTCCTATCCAACTTGCCGCTATCCTCTAGTTGAACACCAGGTTCCAAAGCCAAGTCTTCAGTTGTCTTCTAAAGGACAAGGAGGAGGTGGTGGCCAACCTAACGTCCTTAGGGTTCCACAGACGGGGGGGGGCCACTGCCAAGAAGGCCCTGTCTCTCATCCCCACCAACCACGTTTGCGAAAGTGGTGGGATCAAGAGCAGTGCCTCTATGTTCTGCAAACATCCCCAACTCCTTCAGCCACTCTTTAGAAGGATTCATAGTTTCCAAACCTTTGACCACTTGGGTGGACCTTCTCTGGACACCATCCATCTTGTCCATCTCCTTGAATGGTTTTGCCCAGTGAGGTCTGACCAAAGCTGGGAGTCAGCTGCATTAAGATCACTATTGACTGAAGGTAATGAGTTTGAAGCCAGCCTGGGTCGGAGTGAGCTTCCGACCAATTTGTGTAGCTTGCTGTCGACCTTTGCAGCCTAAAAGACAGTTGCATCTGTCAAGTAGGAAATTTAGGTGCCATTTATGTGGGGAGGCTAATTTAA